CCACCGTCCCGCTTGCTCGCGCACATCTTCTGCCATGCTACCCAGTGGACTTTCCTTTCACCATTCATTGCACCCCACCAGAATTTAGAGGAGATCGAAGACAGTTTCCGGCACATCTTCTTTGAGAGGTGAAAACAACTCATGGTGTAAGTCGGAGTCGCTTGGAGAACGGATTTAACTAGAACTTCTCTTGCCGCCTTAGATAATCCTTGGCCCTTCCATCCACAAACTTTCCCTTTACAACATTCCGTGACGTGTTTGAAAGTGCCATCCTTTGACCTCCCAACCAGTGTTGGTAGGCCCAAATAGCGCTCACTAAGAGCTTCAGATTGAATACCCACAGTCTGTTTTATTTTCTCCTTCATGTCATTCGGGCACCCCCTCCCAAAGAAAATGGATGATTTCTGCAAATTGACCTTTTGCCCGAAAGCTTCTTCATATTGTGAGAGGATCTGTTTGAGTGTCTCCATATTCTCCTTTGTTCCCTCAAGGAACACAATACTGTCATCCGCAAACAAAAGGTGGGTGACATGGGGGCCAGTGCTGCCAAATTTCACCCCCTTTATTTTCTTGTCCATCCGAGCCCTCTTAGGCCTTGTTTGGTTCCTTCAGTTTTGAAGGGGTTTGGAGGGGATTGAGGGGGATTAAATCCCCTACAAGTCAAAATCCACCTCAATCCCCTCCAATCCTCTCCAATCCCCTTGTGGGAGGGATTAACCGAACAAGCCCTTAAGGAGGGCTGAAAACCCCTCCACGCAGAACAGAAAGAGGTAGGGTGATAAAGGGTCGCCCTGTCTCAGACCACGAGAGGGTAAGAAACTCCTTGAGAGGCCCCCATTTAACTTTACTGAAATCTAGCCGATGTCACACACCTCATAATCATGGAGACCCATTGGGGGGCAAAGCCAAAGTGTAACATAATCTGCTCCAGAAAAATCCACTCTACCCTGTCGTATGCCTTCATCATATCCAACTTGATGGCGCACAGACTCTTCTTCCTTTTCCTCTTCCTAATAGCATGCACACACTCATATGCAATGAGTACATTATCTGTGATCAAACGTCCTGGCACAAACGCACTTTGCTCTTCAGAGATCAGAAAAGGTAATATGCCCTTTAATCTGTTGGCCAGAACCTTAGTTGCAATCTTGTATAGAACATTACACAAGCTTATTGGACGAAATTGTGAAAGTAACTCCGGTGAGTTTACTTTCGGAATCATTACAATGACCGTTGCATTAAAGGCATCAGGAGTTTGAGCACCATTAAGAAAATCCCGAACAGCCCTACAAACATCATCTTTAACCATCGACCAGTGTCGTTGGTAAAAGAGCGCAGGGAGCCCATCCGGACCCGACGCCTTCGTCGGACTCATTTGGAATAGAGCCCCCTCAATCTCATTATTAGTGATAGGGGTTGTTAGTTTACCATTCATTTCATCAGAGACCAAATGCTCAATATTTTGTATTAGAACATTGGCATTAACTGAACCTTTTGACGTAAATAGTGCTTCATAGAAGCTTGTCCTCATCTCGTCATCAACTGTGCATTTCGTCCCATCTTCCCGCCTTAACGCCCGTATAGTGTTCTTCCTCTTGCGGTGTGACGCCCAGTTTTGAAAATACTTTGTATTCTGGTCTCCCGCCCGCAGCCAATCGACTCTAGAATGTTGCCTGTACAGTAGCTTCTCCCTTGAATAAATTTCTCTCAACTGCTGCTCAATCTCCCGGACCTCCAGTGAGGATCCGGTAGTAACAGCCCTGAGTCGAGTATCAGCTAGATGGGATTTAAGCTTCGCAATTTGTCGCCTCATAGAGCCGAAGACTTCGTGCGCCCACTTTTGCATGCTTCCCTTCATCTTCCCCAAGCGGTTCCAGATTGCCTCCAAAGTATGCTCACCTGACCCAGCCTCCCGCCATGCCTCACTAACCATGGCTTCATATTGCTCATGCCTCGTCCACGCTTCTTCAAACTGAAACGGTCTCGGCCCTCTTTCCGCCGACCGCGGGGCAGTCACCGATGCCCTAACAAGGATGGCCTGGTGGTCTGATTCCTCCGTGACAAGGTGTTCGACATGAGTTTCTGGAAACATCTCTAGGAAACTGTCAGTGCATGTGGCATGGTCAAGCCGGACCTGAACGTTATCCCCTCAATCACGCTTATTATCCCATGTATACGGATACCTGAGAACCCCAAATCAGCGAGCCCACAATCCGCCAAACAGTCTCGAAAATCTTCCATCTGATCAAAAGGTCTCGGGTTGCCGCCAAGTTGATCGGACTGAAACAATGCCTCATTATAGTCTCCAACGCAAATCCAAGGAAGATTGTCTTGAGCCCATAAGTACCGAATCGCATCCCATGACTTTTTCCGAAGATCCCTTGGGCTCTCCATAGAAACCAGTGAATCTATAGGTTTTTCCCTCCCACACCATCTCTGTGTCAATGAAATATTGGCACCAAGGCCTCACAGTTACCTGCACACTTTCCCTCCACCACAAAGCCAAACCACCACTTAAGCCCTGGCTGTCCACGGCTACACCACTCCTGAACCCCAACCTCCACATAAGTTTCTCCATTGCTCTCGCCTTCTTCTTCGTTTCCGAAAGAAAAACCACCGTTGGGTTGTAGGACCTAATCAGGTCATGAAGCTCGCCAACTGTCGAGTCCAACCCCAACCCTCGACAGTTCCAGGCCAAAATATTTATTGGTCCCGGCGGCCCTGCTCCCCAGGGACCGCCGATGTATCATCAGGCTCAGAGATGCGGTCAAACACTGTAGACGTTTTCCGCCTAGTCTCATGAATGAACACATCTTGGTTGCACTGTCTGCTATTATTCCCTTTTGCTACCCAGTGTTGTCTTGGCCTCCTCTTTCTATCCCCAGGGTGGTTTTGGAACTGATTCTGCTTGGGTTGATATTCAGCATAATCAGCTCGCGGGCGCCTAAAATAGTGATCAGGGCGCCTCTCCCTTTCTTTGACCTGACAAGAACTACTAGCCCCATCATACATTTGGGACTCATATCTCTTCCTCAGCTCCTGCCTCATATCCATTTGCCTAGCTCTCAGCTCGTTCCTCAGATCTTTTTCTTTCTTTCTCTCCAGGTCATCTCATAGATCCTTTCCTTTCCGGTCAGTGCGTCTCTCTTCAGCCGGCCAGTGCCGCTGTTTATTTGGGCTACTCACCTCCTCAAAACCCTGCATGCCGTCCTCGCCAGTGTGAGAAACAGTCGAGCCTTGATCATTAAACTCTCTACGCAAATTCCTTTTTGTCGGTAGATCACACACATAACCCTTCCTATTCCTCCCCAGCTTTCCCTCGCTCGAATGTGCGCTATTAAAGCTTTTGCCTGCTATTTGCACCACCTCTATGTTGTCCCTCCTTGACATACGAAGAGCGACCCGGCGACGCCCGGAGCCACTCTCGCCATTGCATGTCCGAACTGACCGGGGGGACACAGCCTTCCCTACCATGCACCAGTCTACCACAATCAAAGCAAAAATGAGGAATCTTCTCATACTCAAAGTCAAACCACGTTTCAGAATTTTCCTTCAAATTGAAGCCCCTAACAAGTGGCTCAAAGATTGACAGTTTTGTACGAACCCTTAGGCCCCGCTTGGAATGTTGTTTTTCTGCCACCCCTGTAACATTTTACACCTGTATTATACTAGTCTCAAACCGAATACATGCCACAGGGTTGTATTTCCATTCCGCTTCTAGCCTCCGCTTGGAATGTTGTTTTTCTGCCACCCCTGTAAGTTGGCTCCAGTTTCAATTCGGTTGTAAAATATACATGGCGCCCAAGTTGCAGCACTACATATATGTTCAAATATGCATGGCACCCAAATGTATAGCTTTTCAACAGCACAGACTTTCTAATACACACGTATAGAATTTTCAACAGCACAGACTGCACTTCCACACAAATTGCACAGGTATAAAATGAGCTAAAATTTTGATTTATATAACAATACAACCACATCAAAAAAAGGATAATATTTTTGCAATCATCCATTTGAACATAGTTCCGATAACTCATAGTGCTCAAAGTCAGTAGTTTAAATTACAAATTTATCGAGGCATACTTGTCTCGTCTCGTCCGCATGCTACATAACCAAATTTATTGAGGCAATTGTTCAACCATTGTGCGCTTAGACATAAAATATTTCAGGAACATTATTGATTGCTTCATGGACTCGGGTAATCATAGAATCATGTGAAAGGACATCCTGAAAAGAAAAAAATTGAAAAACATTAGCTATGTAAGAACACTTTGTGCTCTATGAAGGATACCAGCCACACATGTCAAGAACAACCATGTATGTCAAAAAGATTAGCACAAAATCCTGAATTACCAAGGGGAGCCAGATGGTACAAGGTAGCCATAGCATGTCACTAAATTTAAAGAAACCATATTATTTTTCAAAAAACACCGATATGAAGAGACAACATGGCAGCAATATAAACAACATCTTAAATAAGAAAAGATGTTCTAGACAGCAGCAGGTCTATATGATTTTGAATGCAAAAATGATAGCTCCAAGAATTGCAAGTTCTCAACACAGGTCTATTGTGGATAATAACAAACATGTCCAGAATATTATGTTACTCCCTCCCACTAGCGGAGCCTCGTTGAGGCCAAAGGGACTCCAGGAGCAAGCAAGGTATGCTTCACCTAATGGAAATAAAAGGAGCACAGACAATACCTTTGATCAGAGCACCAGATTGATTGAAGGAATACCGCCAGATGAAAACCGAGCTGCAAAGGAATACTCACTCAACTAAGCCTTACAAACTTATCTTTAGTGGAGAGAAGAAATGCAGAAAACCAAGATAATGGTACTTACAAGGAGGAGGCTGAGGACTAATCTTGTCGACTTCCTTCTTTAGCCACATACCCCGCAATCTTGAGTTGTAACCCAGGAAAATCTCACGATTTGCTGCATCCTTGAAAACATCAGAGGCAAAGATTTTGACCTGGTCGGGAACATCATCCATGTCATTCAAGACCTGCAAGCATTCTGTAATTGAGGGTTGTTTTCCTTGCTGTGACACTTTTTTTCTTCTTGGAAGCTTGATCTTTCTTGAAATTCACATAAGCCATCATGGAATCGTCAAGCCGCTGTACAGATGTGGCACCTTTTTTTTTCTTAGTTTTTTTCCCTTTCGCACTTGATTCACTTATTTGTGGTTGATCGCCATCAGCATCTTCACTGCCTAATTCTTCCTCGTCATTGACAGTGTTCTCTCTTTCATCCACATCATCTAATGTAGGAGTATCATTGATGTCAATTATTGAAGAAGTCCTTACGTTGTCATCTCTTCCATGTCTTGTATTTTTCTTGCTAGTGCTTGCAACCATCTTATCCTTCGCTCCAAAGTTGCTACCTGTTTTTGTGCCAATCGGAGGCTTCCTTGAGGTGAGGCAATGTCTTCCTTGCGCAATGTGTCCTTCATAGAGCACACCCAATGCCTCGTACAATGGAAAGCTCTTTCCTTCATACATTTTGAGCTTTGGGTCCTCCTACATAATTAATAGAAAGGTGTGAGCAGATCATGCATAGGCATGAAAAGTTCATGCACATATAAGGAAATCAAAAGTTAGAAGGAATAAAAACTTACTGCAATGATCTCTTCCCATTTTTCAGGCGTGGTGTTGATCACACATGCAATATCATTCCATGATATTCCAGAGTGGTTGACTATCAACTTGATATTTTTGTAGTGCTTTTTCAACTGAGCTTCCTTATCTTGAACCTGATCCTTGGTAAACCTTGCCTCTGGATATAAATTGTTCAGTTCCTTGACAACTTGATTCCATCCTTCGGTAGTCCACCCATTTTGGCCACGGTAATGAGATAGATTGTACTCTGTAAGTACCTCCACGAGACCTTTCTCATACCTTGCTGTCCACTTAGCCCTATTTTGCGTCATATTGAACCTATGACAATGTAACTTTAGCAATAAATCAATACAAGAATCTGATCACATTAAGCAACATAAGAATATGAAAATCCAACATCACATTAAGAAATATAAGAATCTGAAAATGCAAAATCACATCAAGTAATATGAAATGAAACATTAACATAACTAAATGTTGCTAATATATAGGATCGATCCTAATAACATAACTCAAATGTCATCCTTACATAACTCAAATGAAACATTAACATAACTCAAATGTCATCTTTATATCTCAAATTCCACATCACTACAATAAATTACTTTGACAGAATAAAAACTTAAATTATTAGCTAGTAGATCTCCGTGACGATCTTTCACTTCGAATTCTTTGATAGTCCGCCCACATCCTGTTGGCAATTTCATCTCTCATAGAATTACCAAGGTCCCTTTGATTGCTTGAGGATGTAGGAACATGTCGAGGTCTGTCATCTCCATCAGGAAGAGTGACAAATAGAAGAGGGTCAATTTGCATTTGTTGCGTATCTAGCCATTGTTCATCACCTCTGTGACTCCGGATTATATTGTGAAATACAGCTGCCGCCATAGGAATCTTGACTTGAGTGTCAATTGGGTAACGTGTGCCAACTTTTAAAATAGGAAATCGCATTTTCCATACACCAATAGTACGCTCTATATGGTTCCGTAGACGGGCATGCCTTAGATTGAATAGTTCTTTGGGGTTCTTTGGACGAGGGCCACCTCTACCGAAATCTTTTAGTTGGTAACGAACTCCACGGTACGGAGCTAGAAACTGTGGTGTGTTTGCGTAGCCTCCGTCAACCAAATAATACTTGCCCGGAGGTACATGGAAGCCCGATTGAATAGCAGATTTCAATACTCCGGCATCTAAGGCAGACCCCTCCCAACCAGCTGACACATAAACAAAGTTGAGATCGAAGTCGCAGGCGACCATCACATTTTGGGAGAGGGTCCCCTTTCTATTCCTGTATGGAGCAGCCTCGTTGGATGTTATGGTCATGGGAACATGAGTCCCATCTATTGCCCCTAGGCAGTTCTGCATTAAACAAGCTATGGTTACTATGTGTTATACTAAGGGGGGGATATAAATTCCTAAAGTACATAGCAAGGGATGGCGTGTACCTCAAAGAAAGGCGAAAACTGGGGATTTGTTGATATTTTCCAATGAGTATCTAGCGAACTATGCTTGATAAGGTCAAATGCCAATGATCTCATAGCGTTGAAGCATCCATTGATATGCCTATGCACCGTTTCAGGACTGTGCTGAAACCTATCAGTCAACGTACGATAACTCGCATTCCTGGATAGCATGTACATAAACATCCCTAGTTGCTCTTCAACACTGACTCCTTTTAAATTTTTTAGAAGATTTTTGGATCTAAGATGGTCACATAGAAGTTGGAAGATATGGGATTCCATCCTAAGAATATCAAGGCACCGTTGAGGGTGGCCATCCAATATTTCTCGGATATACTTAGCTCCCGTAAGAATGGATGTGTTCACTGGAATCTTTTCCCTCCTAGAAGATATACAATATATTGTCGGGAAGACAAGAAACATCATCTCCTCCTCCTCCTCCTCCTCCTCAGAATCAGTACATGACTCATATCCATCATCATGGTTACTCGTATCCATTATCTAGCGAGAAGAGATTACAAAATAAATACCGCAACTCTCCTTCAAAGTAAACACAATAGTATATATAATCTATGTTATGACATTGGAATAAAAGGAGCACTAGCACATCAAGATAACGAGATTAGTGTAACATGAAAAGATATTACCATACTTTTATTGATTGATGTAACGGTTGAGTATAGATGTATATAGACAAGCACATGCGCAAAACAATGAAGAATAAATCAGTGACACACACACAAGCTGGACTGAATGCTTTTGAGTTTATTAAGTACCTTCAGTTCTGAGCTTTAAATGTCAAAAGAGCTTCACAGAATCTTGAATCCTCCAAATCACTCTTAACAGTTCTGCATTGCACAAAGGCAGCAATGAGCCAATGATATCAGTAGCAATAATATGTGCTGCAGTTATATAACTTATCAAACAGGCCCAACTTAGTTAGCATTCTATCTGCACAACTGGACAAAGAAAACAGATGAACTATTCATAAACCCATGGAAGTTTATTGGACCCTGTTCATAAACAAATCATTGGACCATTGTTCATCTGTTTGTTTATCAGTATTTCTAGGTTTACATCAATCTGAACTTCGACAGCAGCTAACGAACTGAATTCTTGTGAAACTTTGGCAGCAGCTGTTAACTGGCAGGAGGGTTCGGGCTAATCATGACCAAGCAGGACGGCCCCGTCGCCAAGGAGTACTCCGCCGCCGGTTGAACGGGGAAGGGGCAGGGAGGGATGGCAGAGGAGGAGGAGGAGGAAGAGGGAGGATACCTTGGTGGAGCAGAGGAGGATGAGCGATTCGCCGTCACGGTCAGGTCACGGCTGCCGGCTAACGTCGCCGTCGCGGCCAGGAGCGAGTCGCCGTCACTGTCGCGGCCAGGAGCGAGTCGCCGTCACCGTCGCGGCCAGGAACGAGTCGCCGTCGTCGGCGCGCCTAACCCCCGTCGTGGCCACCGTCTTCTGCGCCTCACCACGTCGCCGTCGCGAACGCCGTTGCTTGACCACCTCGTGGACACCAGCGCCGGCGCCTCCCGGCGGCGCAACTCGATCTAGGTCTCGAGTGAGAGGCGAGGTGGGGAAAAACGACGGCCTCTGGTCTGTATCGGATACCGGCCTGATACGGGTGTACGAGAAAACCAGTGTAAAACTTACAGCCCAAAAACGACATGCCAAGCACCAACGACAGGCCCGTCCGTTTTTATTTTACAGAGGTATATTTTACAAGTGTATTGGGCCCTAAAACGAGGAACCAAGCGGGGCCTTAGGTGTATTCCTTTAGCAAACCCATCTTTCTCAACGTCAACTCGCACCCTCTTGCCCAACCAATTCCCCAGCGCCTCCCCGAAAGCCTTAGAGCGCCTGCCCAGAGGGAGATCCGTCACTCTAACCCAAACATCCACCGAATGAAAACTCATCTCTGACGGACGTATGCTGCCTTCATAATCCTTAAGCACCAAGACGTTGAAGTCAAATTGTCATGGACCGTTATTCAGAGCATGCTTCCAATCCCCTTCGCTACCAAAATAGACTACAAACTTATTCTCTCCAATGTCGCTGAACTTGGCCTCCCGATGCAGACCCCATGCTCTTGAGCGGTACTACATGTTTTTTGTTTTTTTAGCAAATCCGAGCGGTAATTTTCTTTTCTTTTTTGAGATTATTTTTCCGGGCAAATTGAGAGCTTTATTGAATAAAAGTGTTCGTCGAACAGTCCGTCAATAGGTTACTGATCAAGAAGCTATAAGTACTATCGATCCAGCTTTCGGTCACGTCAATCGTGCAAGCATGCTTAGCACAGATGTGAGCAGGACCATTGGCTGATCTTACAATATGACCAATAACAAAAGAATTGAAACTAGCAATAAGCTCTCCAATTTCTAATAAGATAGGAGTCACGATTGAGCAGGAGTCGTCACGAGTGGTCCAGAGGTTGGCGACCTCCAGGCAATCCGTCTCCAAAGATGATGTTCGATAAACCTCTCAAGCTTGCGAAGATAACGCCGTCGCGCACTGCCATCGCCTCAGCTATAAGAGGATCCGTAATTCCAGGGTAAGGTTTTCTCCATGTCCCCCATAAAAGAGCTAGGAGAGCAAGCAACACTGCCAACTCCTCCTTCGCCTTCTTCAAGCTTGATTGCAGCGTATGTGTTGATCATGACAAAACCTGAATCAGGGGGATTCCATCCATGACCCGGCAACACTAGGGCATGCTGACGGGGTACATATAAGAGAGCAAGGGCCTACTTGTTGGGAAATGTAGCATGGAAAACAAAAAAAAAAATTCTACGCTCACGCAGTGATCTATCCATGGAGATGCATAGCAACGAGTGGGAGAGTGTGTCTACGTATCCTCGTAGACCGTAAGCGGAAGCATTTCACAACGTAGTTGATGTAGTCGAACTTTCTTCGTGCTCCACCGATCGAGTATCGAACGTATGACACCTCCAAGTTCTGCACACATTCAACTCGATGACGCCCCTCGCCTTCTTGATCCAGCAAGGTGTCGAGGTAGTAGATGAGTTTCGTCAGCACAACGGTGTGGTGATCGTGATGGTGAAGTGATTCACGCAGGGCTTCGCCTAAGCACCGCAAGCATATGACCGGGGGTGTAAACTATGGAGGGGACGCCGCACACGCCAAACAATTGATAGTGTGTTTTAGGCGCCCCCTTCCCCACATATATATAGGTGGGAGGGGAGGAGAGGTAGCCAGGGGGCACCCCAAGTAGGATCTGAATCCTACTTGGAGTTTCCCCAAGTGGTGCCCCCTTTCC